GGCAGGGCTCTGGGGCCGTTGACCCGCTGGTCTCTGCAGGGTATCCGACTTGCCCATGAGCTACCGCGTGGCCAAGGCCCTGGTATTCAACAAGGTGCGAGTCGCCCTGGGCCTGGACCGTTGCCGGCTCTTCATCAGCGGGGCAGCCCCCCTCACGCAGGACACGGCCGAGTTCTTCCTCAGCCTGGACATCCCCGTCTTCGAGCTGTACGGCATGAGCGAGAGCTCGGGCCCACACACCATGTGCAGCTCGGAGAACTACCGAGTCCTCAGGTGCCTGCCCAAACCCCGCTGAGCCACTGGGGCTGGGGGGCGGGACTGGCCCGGCCCCATTCCGACTCGGGCGTTCTGTGCAGAGGGCATCCCCATCTGGGCACCGGTGGGGGCGCAGACAGCCTTGACTTCTTTTTTTTGGGGGGCGGGGGTTGGCGAGGAGCTTTGAACTGCCCTCCTGGCCACTAGCAAACCCCGTGCCTGAGCCACCGGGGCTCCTGGCACACAGGGCTGGGAGCTGGCTATGGTTCACAGCAGGGACCTGGGTGGGTGGGTGGTGGGGCGGGGTGGTGGCAGGGACCTGATGCCACGTCCCTACGGTACCCTTGCAGTTGTGGGAAGATCTTAAGCGGCTGCAAGAATATGTTGTACAAGCAGAACAAAGAGGGCATCGGCGAGGTCTGCTTCTGGGGCCGGCACGTCTTCATGGGCTACCTGGACAGGGTGGACAGTACCATGGAGGCCATCGACGAGGAGGGCTGGCTGCACTCGGGGGACCTGGGCCGCATGGACAAGCAGAACTTCCTCTACATCACTGGACGCATCAAAGGTCTGGGGCTGGCTGGGAGTGGGGCGGGGCGGGGGGGTGGGGGGAAGCTTCCTGTGTGCCCCAATCGTGCCCCCTCACCAGAAACCCTGGCCCACATGCCATAGCAATGCCACCCCAGCCAGCATCTGTCCATCTGTCTGTCTGTGGGCGGGGGTGGGGCTGCTGCCCTGGGACCCCTTCCTGGCTGAGCCCCGTCTCCTCCCAGAGCTGCTCATCACTGCCGGCGGCGAGAACGTGCCTCCAGTCCCCATTGAGAACCTGGTCAAGGAGAAGATCCCCATCATTAGCAACGCCATGCTGGTGGGGGACAGGGCCAAGTTCCTGAGCATCCTGCTGACGCTGAAGGTGACCCCGGGGCTCTGCCTGGGGGCCTCACGCGGTCTCGCACACCCTCCTGGGGCCCCAGCCTGG